AGGGTTTAGGGTTTAGGGTTTAGGGTTTTAGTTTAGGGTTTAGGGTTTAGGGTTTAGGGTTTAGGGTTTAGGGTTTAGGGTTTAGGGTTTAGGGGGGGGGGGGGGGGGGGGGGGGGAATTTGCCACTCATGGGTTAAGGGTTCTGGGCTTTAGCGTGCATTCCGCCTGCACTGCAGCATGTGAGGCTCGAAGGCCCCGGGGCACGTAACCCTAACCTCCCTGTCCCGAAGTCAAGTCTGTACCCCAAGACCTGAACCCTCAACCATTCGGGGTTAAAATTCAGGGTTCAGGGTTCAGGGTTCAGGGTTTAGGGTTTAGGGTTTAGGGTTTAGGGTTTAGGGTTTAGGGTTAGGGTAGGGTTTAGGGTTTAGGGTTTAGGGTTTAGGGTTTAGGGTTTAGGGTTTTAGGGTTTAGGGTTTAGGGTTTAGGGTTTAGGGTTTAGGGTTTAGGGTTTAGGGTTTAGGGTTTAGGGTTTAGGGTTTAGGGTTTAGGGTTTAGGGTTTAGGGTTTAGGGTTTAGGGTTTAGGGTTTAGGGCTACCTCTGTACATCTTGGGGCCGCCCTTCAAAGAAAGCTGCCTCTCTCTGGCGCCTCGCTGCCTGGCCGGCAAACACTGCCTCGGCTGCGCGCAGCTTTTGTTTGTTCTTTCCAAGGAATATTCACCATACCCCTATATCCTAAACCCTAAACCCTAAACCCTAAACCCTAAACCCTAAACCCTAAACCCTAAACCCTAAACCCTAAACCCTAAACCCTAAACCCTACCCCATGGGCATACCCCTTAGAGGAAGTTAAGGTGTATGGTACAAAATCTTCCCTTATGTTCTCCTTCAATAGGTTGAAGGGTATGGGTTTGGGGTATGGTGAGTTGTTCTTCGATTCTTTGGGCGAGAAGCCTAAACCCTAACCCCGAAACACCTCCATTTCAACACGCCAAAACCCACTACTTGGAAATTCAGTGTACTTAAAACTCCAGTAGTTGTACAAATAACTGTACTTATCAGCCCTCGAAGTCTCCTAAGTAGGTCATAAGTTGACTGAAAATTGGGGTTCTAAGTGAACCTCCAAGTATTGTCTGTTGAGATTCGGGCTCATGAGCGTTGGGCTTTGGAAGGAAGAGGTTTAGGGCTTCTGGTGAGGTTTGAAGGGCATGATTCAGCAGCAACGACATCCAGAACATCCCGAAACCACCGGGGAACCACAACCCTAAACCCTAAACCCTAAACCCTAAAACCTAAACTGTTTCGGGCCCAGGGCTCAGGATTCCGGTCGCCTAAACCCTGACCCCCCAAAACTCCTGAACCGAAACCTAGCGACCGAACCCCGATTGAACCTAAAGCCCACAAAGTGTATTTAGGGTTTAGGGTTTAGGGTTTAGGGTTTAGGGTTTAGGGTTTAGGGTTTAGGGTTTAGGGTCTAGGGCTTGGGGCTTGGGGGGATAGGGTTTAGGGTTGGGAGAAGGAAAAAAAAGGATCCCTGACACACAGAGCAGAGGCTCACTCGGCAGAGCCCGCATCTGGGGCAAAGTAGCCCTGATCGTACTTGGGTAGGCTGGTTTAGGGTTTAGGGTTTAAGTTCTCTGGTACCGTGGACCCTCTCCCTAAACCTTAAACCCTGAACCCGAAACCCTAAACCCTAAACCCTCCGCTATCTTGGGGGGGATTCGGGCTGCCGCCTGCACCTTCTGTACTTGCATCAGTGTTGGGGTTTAGCTTAGGGTTCTTGGGCCCCAACACGTAACACCCCTGAACCCCACACATGCCCTAAACAAACCCTGAAGCCCTAAAACCCCAACTTCAAAACCCTCAACCCTCCTCTCCGCAAAACACTGAAAGCTAAAACCGTGAAACCCTGAAACCCTAAACCCTTGTGGCTTTGGATCCCGGGGTTAAGGGCCACGGGCTGAGGATTCAGGGTCTCGTCGGCATTGGGGTTTAGGGGTTTCGGGCTGAGGATTTAGAGGGCTAGGGTTTCAGGGATTTAGGCTTTAAGCTTTCGGTGTCAGCGTGTCAGGCTGCCGGGTTTGGGGGTTTAGCGCCCTAGGCTTTGGAGTGTTAGGGTTTCAGGCTTTGGGGTTGAGGGGTTTCGGGCTTAGGCTTTAGGGTGTTAGGGTTTCAAGGCTTCAGGTCTTACATAGGGCTTCGGGAACACCTCAGGGTTCGAACCCCAAAGAAACATGGGTAGCCCAAAACCCGCAACCCCTCAACCCCTCAACCCACAACCCCTTAAGCCCCTGAAAACCCTAAGCCCCTCAACCCCGAAACCCCTCAAACCCCTAAAAACCCCTAAACCATAAACCCTAAACCCGAAACCCTAAACCCGAAACCCTAAACCCTAAACCCTAAACCCGAAAGGCAAAGAAGATGAATCGGGACGATTAAGACTGGCGAGACGAGCCTGCGGACAAGGCAAGCACAGCTTCATCCCCGTCTCGTTGGCAAAAGTTCCTGGGTTAGGGTTTAGGGTTTAGGGTTGAGGGTTTAGGGTTTCGGGTTGAGGGTTTAGGGTTTAGGGTTGAGGGTTTAGGGTTTCGGGTTGAGGGTTTAGGGTTTAGGGTTTAGGGTTTTGGTTTAGGGTTTAGGGTTTAGGGTTTAGGGTTTAGGGTTTAGGGTTTAGGGTTTAGGGTTTCGGGTTTCGGGTTTAGGGTTTAGGGTTTAGGGTTGAGGGTTTAGGGTTTAGGGTTTAGGGTTTAGGATTTTGGTTCTAGGGTTTAGGGTTTAGGGTTTAGGGTTTAGGGTTTAGGGTTTAGGGTTTCGGGTTTAGGGTTTGACGGCACTGAGCGCTTGTTTGTATGAGGAGATTTGGCAAATCGCTTGCTGATGTTGCAAGTTTTAATGTGACACGGGCTGGTATTGGAAGTTTTCTGAAGTCTTATACCATACGAACAAGCGCTCTGCATCACAATCATGTCGAGTTGCTCATGTTGATTGAGCCAAAGGTTGCTTGTACATAAGCATCTGGTTGCTTGTAGGCAATACGTAGCGCGGGGGGCGGTGTTTCCCAACGTAGCAAGACCCCACCCTAAACCCTAAACCCTAAACCCTAAACCCTAAACCCTAAACCCTAAACCCTAAACCCTAAACCCTAAACCCTAAACCCTAAACCCTAAACCCGCCCCCCCCCACCCCAACCCCTCTGTCGCCCCCCCCTCTGTCGCCCAGATATCTCGATGGCATCGTGCTGTGAACCCTAAGAACCTTAAATGAACCGATCGGTTAGGGATGAGCCCTGAAAAAACCTTTGAAAAAAGGGAGCGCAGCGGAGCGGACCAGGGAAAACTTTTCCAGGGAATCTCTCCATCTTCAAACCAGGATCTCTCGGAAGATCTGCCGGAAAGAATCCGGGTACATCTCTCCCCCCAAGACACCCCCAAAAAAAGGCAAGTAACTGGAAGGGTTCAGGGTTTAGGGGGTAGGTAAACAGAACCCTAAACCCTAAACCCTCAACCCTCAGCCCTAAACCCTAAACCCTAAACCCTAAACCCTACAGCCTGTCCTGGAAAGCAGGGATGGAAGGAGTCCAATCCTGCCAGTTGAGGTTTAGTTCGGGTTTGGGGTTTAGGGTTTAGGGTGGCGGCGTGTTGGATGGGAAAAGGAAGTGAAAACCTCCCTCTTTCCCTCCTTACCCCCCAACCCCCCAAGAAAGGAACCGCTAACAAAATCACCAAACCCCAAACCTTAAACTTGTTCTCCTGCGGGGTCGGCGGCTTGAGCCGGAGGCTCTTAAATTTAGGGTTTGGGGTTTAGGGTTTAGGGTTTAGGGTTTAGGGTTTAGGGTTTAGGGTTTGGGCTTTCGGGTTTCGGGTTTAGGGCTTAGGGTTGAGGATATGAAGTAGGGCTTTATGTCACTGGCATCCCCAAAAGGACGCCCAATATATACCCTCTCCAAGAAAAGGAAACCTAAATACACTCACCCATAATAGTGCTATAAAGTTTCATATGGCCAACCCCACCCCACCCCCAAGCCCCAAGATCGAGCCCCTATGAGCGGGGTCCTTACTGTGGGCGTTGGGGGTCGAGGGAACCAAATATTCCCGATTACAGGGACGTAGGGTTGGCACTTAGCCAGAACGAAGCGCTCATAAACTGCGTGCGCCCAACTTATCTGAGGGTAGCTGCACGGTCCCTTACTATGGGCAACTTGCAAGGGGGCTCCTGTATATGCCCCGTTGTATACCCTACACAACCCAAGGGCCCATCATTCAGAACCCTAGGAGGTAAGGTGAAGCGGCCCGTGCAACTTCCCTCAGAACAAATCCCCCCAATGCCCTAAACCCTAAACCCTAAACCCTAAACCCTAAACCCTAAACCCTAAACCCTAAAATCCAAGCCATAAACCCAAAACCCCAAACCATAAACCCTAAACCCTAAACCCTACATCCCCTTCATGCCCCCAAAACCCCGACATCCCGAAATCCCTGAGCGCCTGAAAGGCTGCCGCTCCCACCCCAGAGAGCCCAACCTAGATACATGTATACATATACATGTACATATACATGTACATATGCATGTACATATACATGTACATATACATGTACATATACATGTACAGATACATGTGCATATGTGTGTATATATATATACATATTTATACACACATTTTTGACGATCTATCTGTGTATATATATATATATACACACACACGTGTACGTAAATAAGAATAGATATGATTCCTCCATTGAGGGGTCTTTCAAGGCTCGCTGTGGGATTTGGACCCCTCCTCCGCTGCACTGCATGCCCCGGGGGCACTTCTTGCATAGCCCGGATGCATCCTCCTTGTAGAAGCCTGGCGGAGATGTGGGTTGAGGGGCGTTCGGGGGTTTAGGGTTTAGGGTTTAGGGCTTAGGGCTTAGGGCGGTTTGTTAGGGGTTTGTTAGAGGTTTGTTAGGGGTTTGGGGGGGTTTGGAGGGTTTGGGGGGTTTGGGGGGGTTTGGGGGCGGGGTTTGGGGGGGTTTGGGGGGGGTTTGGGGTTTTGGGGGGGTTTGAAATCGATCTAAGGCACCTACTTCCCAACTTCCCCTGTTAAGAACTGGTAGTTCAGTTATGTCGGGTCATGCGACGACGCAGCGGGACCTGGGCCCTTTCATTGTCCGCTTTCGTTCCCCCAACAAGGAACGTTTGGGGTCCTCTCTCTCCTGGAGCAAAACCCTAAACCCTGAACCCTAAACCCCAAACCCTAAACCCTAAACCCTAAACCCTAAACCCTAAACCCTAAGGGCCTGTAGGATGATCCCTCCTTGACGCGAGAAACCCTGGACGCCAAACACCCCAAAAAGGCACCTGGCTCGCAGTCGAAGAGGTGCGGTGGGGGCATGGCCGACCTGTTGCCATTCATCCATACCTCGATGATTCGGTGTGGGCGGCTTGCAGGTTTTGGGTTGAGGGCTTGGGGGTTGGGGCTATCTCTACCCATTTTCCTCTTCGGTAGAGTTACTCTTCTCGAACAAAGTGTGTCTTAAACATATATATATGGCTGCTTATTCTTAAACTAAACAAACCATAAAGCTCAGGGATCTTGGCAAGTAGCTTGTCAGTCAAGGTAGGAAGACCCAATTTGGAGTGCTTGCAAACATCACTACCACCTACCGACTGACTGAGCCGTTGAAGTGGACTCCATGAGAACCCTCAGCCCTCAACCCAAAGTCCTAGTCCTAGTAGTAGGGATCAAAAATTCGTGGGGGCTCAAGGCGTCTACATTTGAGAGCTTGAACAGACCGGCGGCCCAAAAAACCTATACTGTAGAGGCTTTGAGGTTTTGAGGTTTTGGGCGGTTTCTTTAGATCGGCTTCGGAAAGTAATTTAGGGTTTAGGGTTTAGGGTTTAGGGTTTAGGGTTTAGGGGTTAGGGGTTAGGGGTTTAGGGTTTAGGGTTTAGGGTTTAGGGTTTAGGGTTTAGGGTTTAGGGTTTAGGGTTTAGGGTTTAGAGTTTAGGGTTTAGGGTTTAGGGTTTAGGGTTTAGTGGTTGGGGTTTGGGGTTTGGGGTTTGGGGTTTGGGGTTTGGGGTTTAGGGTTTAGGGTTTAGGGTTTAGGCTGCCCAAGTGCCAAGTTCGACTGGAAGACGAAGTTCTTCGTGGAAGCACTGAACACCTGGGCTTTCATCCGAAGCCCGGGAGGGCTCCAAGGGGTTCAGATTGGGATGTCCCCCCTTATACGAACAGTCCCTCATGGGAATTTTAGCACCCCCTATGTTTAGGGTTTAGGGTTTTAGGGTTTTAGGGTTTTAGGGTTTTAGGGTTTAGGGTTTAGGGTTTAGGGTTTAGGGGTTAGGGGTTAGGGTTTAGAGGTTAGGGGTTAGGGGTTAGGGGTTAGGGGTTAGGGGTTAAGGGTTAGGGGTTAGGGGTTAGGGGTTAGGGGTTGGGGGTTAGGGGTTAGGGGTTAGGGGTTAGGGGTTAGGGGGGGTTAGGGTTTAGGGTTTAGTTATCCCAAGAGTCCTTGACAGGGATTCTAAGCGAGGGGTACTAGAATTCCGATTAAGGACTGTTAGTATGAGGGAAAGTCCCAAGGCTGGGACACCGAAGCTGCTTCTCGAATTTTGGGGGGCCTTTCTGATTAGAACAGGGTTTCGGGTTTTGGGTTCCCCCTAAACGGGTTCAGAGTTTAGGGTTTAGGGTTTAGGGTTTTGAGGGGTTATTACAGAATGTATAGGGACCATAAGGTGATACTATGAGTCATTGCTCTAACCCCTATATTGCCGTGTGCGTGCTTTGGCTGTGGGTGGCGCATCCAACGGACACGACCGAGGCGTCCATGATGGGGCTAGTGTAGGGGTCGGAAGAATTACTGATAGTATTTCCTTATGGTCCCTCGATAAGCATACGATAGTAGCCCCCCAAAACCCTAAACCCTAAACCCTAAACCCTAAACCCTGTTCTAGCTACGAAGACCCCTATATTACATTCCGCCGTCGGCAGCAATGTCGGCCAAGATGCTGCCACCTCTCGGAAGTCGGAGCTGTTCCTTGGGGGAAGTCAGTCTCAACACCCTAAACCCTAAACCCCAACCCTAAACCCTAAACCCTAACCCCTAAACCCGTTTAGGGCTTTGGGCTTCGGGCTGCTTTGCTATGGTTGGACCCCTCCACAGCTATCCCGCATCTCAAATAGCCCTATTGCAACATTGTTTAAACTCCTTTCCTATCATCACGATGCTACTTCTTATTCTTCTTCCTGCAGCATGACGAGGACCATTCTCCAGCCTATTGATTCGTTATGTCCCTTCAGGAGGCTCTTCACCCGAATGGAGCGCCATCAGCGATTTGTGGGTTCAGGGTCGAGGAACTATTGGATCTAGGGTTAAGAGGCCCATGCCCTAAACCCTAAACCCTAAACCCTAAACCCTAAACCCTAAACCCCAAACCCTAAGCCCTAAGCCCTAAGCCCTAAGCCCTAAGCCCTAAACCCTAAACCCTAAACCCTAACCCCTAACCCTAACCCCCCCCCCCCCCCCCCCCCCCCGCCCCCAAAAAAAAAAAAAAACAAGCCCAGGCTCTCAGATGGCTGTACGTTGAAGAGATTGTAGGAAGTCAGCCGGTCGCCCTTCCTGGCAGGATTTAGGGTTTAGGGTTTAGGGTTTAGGGTTTAGGGCTTAGGGTTTAGGGTTTAAGGTTTAGGGTTCTCCACGTCACGAAGGTCGACCTAAACGAACCCTGTACCTGAAAAAAAAGGGCTTCTATACTCTAAACATTCCGAACCCTTCATCTGAAAAGGGTTTCTATGCTCAAAAAAATGCTAAAGGGATAAGGCGCTTGCCGGGATTCTTTCCTCTCATGTTTTCCCGCCCTTGCGCCAAATTTCCGTCCTTTCTCCAAGTAAGCATGTTGCGGATTTTCCCGTTCAAAGGGCTAACTTGGGATGTTCCCCCTTGTACCCACAGTCCTTACTAGGGATTATAGTACCCCTCCTACGATAATCCCTATTTAAGACTGCATAAGGGGGCACATCCCAGGATTCTCCGTTCAAAGATGGCTCGTCACTTTTGCTCTGCTGCTAACAAGTATCCCGAGTGCGCAGGCGAGATGCTTTGCATGATCGCCGAACTTGGCAGACTGCACAAACGTCGAAAGGAGCAGGAGGTAGGCTCTCAGGCCCATCTTCAAACACTGGAGCTCCATTCCGGGCGGGCTGGGTGGGCCCCAAAAGCTACAAGCAACAGGCATCGCTTCTTCACAATCTTTAGCAAGCCAAAGATGGCTCGTCACTTTTGCTCTGCTGCTAACAAGTATCCCGAGTGCGCAGGCGAGCTGCTTTGCATGATCGCCGAACTTGGCAGACTGCACAAACGTCGAAAGGAGCAGGAGGTAGGCTCTCAGGCCCATCTTCAAACACTGGAGCTCCATTCCAATCATGTTACGTAGCTGTCGCCGCTCGCAGAGCCAGAACAGCGAGCCCTAGGGGCTTTCAGAAAGCAGTCAAGAACAGCTTCAGAGAAAGAAGCCAGGCGCATGACCTGGAGCCGCTGACTCTGTGTCAGCTTTGCGAGCAATAATTGCCCGGCTACGTCCTGTAGGTAATACTCAAGCGTCTTGCGTTGTTGCCACCGGCCACGCCACTGAATCTTTTCAACGTCTTCTGTTCTTTGATAGAGCCATGTCGCTCCTGAGCCTCGCAAAGTTTTCGGAGTGACACCCTTATCAGCTTCAGAGGTGGCCACATGCAGGTGGGAGAAGACGGCATTCCAACGGGTACGATGCACTTCACGTGAGCAGTTGAAGAGGGAAGCGCCGGGAGGTAGATGCCCGAAAAGCGCATCCAGAAACATTGCCGTCTTGTGATCAGAGATGCGAGCATGTTGCCGACGCATAAAGCGCCGAGTCTTGCCGTCCGTAATGCGTACAAATGCCAGCTGGGTCGCGGTGAGCAAGTCCCTGGGCAGGATCAGCTCTTCCCTGGTCAAGTACAGAAACTCGCCTGGCCTGAGGAGGCCATGAAAACCCAGCAGTAAAGTAGCAGCGAAAAGCGGCCAACCCCACATCAAAGAAACTGTGACAGCTGCTCTGATCATCGCCTCCGGCATCACCATGGACCTCTCAGTTGGCTCCTCTTCCTCCCACCTGGAGAGGATATTCCACGCCGACGCCAAAGATGCTTTGAAGTGCCGATAGCGATCCACCACCGCATTGAGGGCTTCAGAGAAAACATACTTAGGATAACCCTCATAGAAAAGATACTTGCCGAAAGCAATCAGCGTAGTGCAGAGTAGCAGCCCAGAGCTTGCGAGCTGAGAAAAAGTGCACTGGAACTGGTCCTCGCTCCATTGCTGAAAAGAGTCAAACAGACCAGCTCGTCTGTTCTTCACAACCGAGGTTAAACCGGAATCAAAGTCCAGCGTAACCCGGCTGCGTGCTTCAAGTCTAGAGGGCGCACGCCGAGGCATGCTCTCTCTTGTAGAGCTGCAGAACCGTCAACCGGGCCCACAACCCCGCTGGTCCCAAGATGTCGTCAGTAATCTTGACCAAATCGAGAATGCGCTTTGAGCCACTGAGCAATTGCTTTAACCAAAAGGGCTGAACTTCCAAGCGCTCCCTGAGCTGTTTCAAGCGCGAGGGATCGTCAGCCACATTATCATCGGTGCCGACATGGAAAAGACTCGGATAAAGCCCTGCACCCAGAATATGTGGAAGAACTGTTGACAAATAGAAGTTAAGCTTCTGACTGCTTGACCTGCCCTTCGAGTTGCAACCGATAGTGACTCGACTATCCAGCAAGGCCTCAAAACGAGAATTCGGTTCGGTTTTTGCAAGGTGTTTGAGCAGGCTTCGGAAAGAAAGCTCCTCGTTGACATTGATGTGGTTCACACGCTTGAAACGATATTGCAAGAGAACTTTCCATTGAAGCGTCAGGCTCAAATCTGCAATCCACCTTGGGGGTTTGTGAGCTGGGCGTCGGGTTGTAGAGGGCTTAGGGTGCCTGAGATCCTCAATGCACGGCGCAAGTAGTCGGCAAAGGTGTCTGAGCGCTGGGATGGGACATATGCCTGACATTTTGCAGACTGCTTCACCTGCTTTAGGGATGCGACCGAAGACCGTCACGCAGTCGGGTTTGCAATGCGCACAGAACTCTTTGACACTCTCATGGGTGAAAGTCCTTTCAATCCGCAGATGCCCTGCTTGAGCGCCACAACCACAGCCGCCGCACATCTCAGAAACTTCGGAACGATTGCAAAGCCAGTGTGATGGTTTCTTGTAGGGGGTGCCGTACGTGCAATAACAAAATTTCACATCAACAAAACCTCTCAACCGAAGTCTTTGGAAGCAGTCAAGTCGATACATGACAGACGCCAGAGGAGTTTCGCTGGTGGAAATTAGGCCATAGGCAGCGCACAGATGCATAATCAAGGCTGCCCTCATGGCGAGCAATGTGCCGCCCCGAGTGATGGGCTCGTCTGGGTCAAAACCGAAAGGCTGCACCTTGCTCCTCAATCGTGGTCTACGCATAGTTCCGAAAGTAGCGCATGGAAGCCCCAAATGAAAATAGCAAATCACCCGTCTGCAAATCAAACCGATAATAAGCTGCATCGTAGAGTTGAGAAGCAAATCACCATGAGGTCCGTCATTCATGTCGAACCCCGGATGGCAGGTGAACCCCTGTTCCTTGAAAGTGCTCGTCAAAGTGCCCTCACCCCTAAAAACTTCACAAACGTCGAACAGAAACCCTTCTGCCATTGAACCCGGAACTGGGCCCAGATCATCCGGCTGCAAAAGCTCGGTGCCGAAAGCATTGTCGAGGTAGGCTGCCAGCTGAGGTTGAAGATTTGTATGAAAACCCTTATGGTCAGCATGGCGCAATAATTCCAAGGTCGCTTCGGCTCCTATATGGCTTTGGCAGACCCCGGCTCCAAAAGGCGAAGCATCCGAGCAGAAAAGTTTTGAGAGGGGCTTCGCCCTCAGGTCCGTCGTCATGCAAGGTGCAAAAAGGATAAGTAGCATCAGCTCCTGCTTTGCATCATGAGAAAGGGCGAAAATCTCACCGCGGGCATGTTGCGCAATGTCATGGAAAACCTGACTCATGAGACACATGGTTGGCCGGCGAAACATGACGACAAAAATCCATGATCCTATGATGCTCTGCAGAAGCTCGGTGGTCGTGAACCCCAGCAGCACCAGCTCCAAAGTCAAAGCACATAATGCAACAGTCTTCAATCTTGGTGCACAAATATCACCCCGGATCCCGTCTATCTCGCCCCCCAGGATGGTAGCTTTATAAGCGTTACGAACGGCCTTCTTTGGTGATGTTCTGAGGTTCACCGACGCATACTGCTTACCAGCCCGTGCAAAGATCTTCTGATCGGCTCGGGAGGGAGGAGGCTCTTTGGAAACAGCTTTACGAGGTACTCGCAGAAGATATGCATGGTCATCGATACATAGCAGCTCGTACCCAGGGCCTCGGGGAACTGGATGTTTGTAAGCTACTTGTTCAGAGGGTCTGAGACAACCAGCACGTTGAAGGAGCACTGTATGTACGTGTTGTGCTGTTTCAACAGCAAAGTTTGTCCCCATGGCAAGGGTGCGAAAGCACCCCACCACAGGAACATTGTCCAACTCCGGCCGATACGCTCTCCACCCTCGAAACAGCGAACCTGGGAAGACTCCGTGAATGTGGTTCCGGGCTGCGTGGGCATCGCTGACAATGAAGTTGTGATAAAAATCCTTAAGGTCATCTGATCCCATCACCAGGTTCTCTGTCTCAGGAAGAAACATCTGGCATAGCAAACTGGAGTGCGCAAGCGACAGCGTAGCGTCAGACACCGAAAAGCTCCTAGAATTCTCGGAAATAGGATTCAATATCTGGCGGTCAACCCTGTCATCCTTGTACACAGCAAACAAACCGCAACGATATCTATGTTCAGACTGCGAGGCTGGGAGCAGATACAAAGAGTCCACTAGGTCCCACTTTTTGTAAAGGGCCAGCTGATCATCACGGTCGGCTTGCACTCGGGCTAGCTTCGTTTTTGGCCAGCAGGTTTCGGGCTTCAGGAAGGCTCTTGGGTCTGCGAAGCCACTCTTAAGGAGAGGGTCAACTAGGAACCGAGAAGCATCAAACTGGGGGGCCACCTCGAAAACCAATCTGTCAGGCTTGATGCGCAGGCTGCTGGTAGAGGAGGATTTTCCAGATTGAAGCGGGCCATACCCGATCCCTGCTTGCCTTTCTGGATTGAACGAAGCAATGCTGTTCACCTCACCTTTCGAAGTGGGGCGTTCGCTGGAGTCGGCATTAGATCTTCGAGTTTGGCACTTGCTTGGCTTACTGTACGGAGAAAATTGGGACTGTAAGTGGTGGCTTTGCTGTAAAAGTGACTGTAACTGTTCTTCCATGCTGCCAAACTTCTGGACTGCACCTTCAAGTCCGCGTCTGGGGCCTGTGCCCAGGCGGAGCCAAACCATGACCTGCCTCTCAAGGCGAGCAAGCATTGCAGTTTGCACCGCACTGAGGGGCGGCAAGGCTGCAGGATGCATCTCTGTTCGTCCCAGAGCCAGCCAGTTTCCCGCTGCAACCAAGTGGCGGGTCCACAGCCTGCAAAGGTTTCGAAGATGCCACCGCGCCTTGCGCCTGCCAACCAGCCGTCTGTCGGGAGAAGGCTGAAGAGGCGGAAGATTGCAAGGCCATAGTTCGGAAGGGCCATGCGAGGCAGAGCCCAAAGGAGGTAGAGCACATGCTTCACGAATGAATTCGGTGAGCCGGGTACGAGCTCCCGCCAAAAACTTGACCAGGTGCACACACAAAGTCGAAGCAGCGAGGGTGTCGTCCAGGCCTGGAGGAAAAAGGGATTCGAGACAAGGCAGCTGCCTTGTCAAGCGGTGCCATCGCCCGCGTTCTCCTTGCTTCCCCTGCCGCTGCGCTTGCCCTTGCCGCCTGGAGGCTCGTCGTGGTTGCTGGCGTGGTTCGGGTTCTTCGGGTGGTGCGCCTTGGCGGTCCTGTCCTGGATCAGGTCGACGTCCTTCAGGTACCCCAACTGCGTAGCCACCCATCTCGGATCTGACAGCATGCCGTGAGGCACCTCTGCTCGGGGAGCCTTCCTCTGTTCTACTATCGAGAACGGCGGGTCTTCGCGGCAAGTTAGGAGCCATGCCAGTCGAGTGTGTCCTTGCTCGTTCGCCACCTGCTCGCAGAAGATGAGTCCCAGAGAGATGAGAGCGCACACATCGGCCGATCGGTTTTGCTCGATCGCCTCCCACGCGTCGCAGAGGAGAAAGGCCAGGTAGGTCAAGGTCTTGTAGTTGCCCAAGGGGACCGTCTCCTGGAAGTGCAGAAACATGTCTCGGGCCTCCAAGTCGACTGGCGATGCTTTGCGGCGAGCCTGAGCCAGGCGCTCCCTGACTTTCTGGTACACCCGCTCCGGGTGCTTCTGGAACTGCTCCTTCAATAGCTGCCTTGCAGCCATACCCCGCACCCCGGCCACCTTCGTCTCGTCGTCTCCGCCTCCGCCGCTCCCGCCTAGAAGGTGAAGAGGATCCGAAGACTTCGTGGCGGAGGCAGTGAGTTGGGACAGGATCTTGGTCTGCTGGACCAAAAGCTTGCTCAGGATCTGAGTGTCGGAACCTTCCGCCCCTGCGCCCACGTCGTCTTTCTCGTCCTCGGCGTCCTCGGACCCAATGTCGAAGGTAGGGACGGCGAACGAGAGCTTCGGTTGAGGGGAAATCTTCGGAGTGGCCTGCAGCAAGCGGGGGGGAGCTCTTGATGGTCCTGGCAGATCTTGAAGGTTCTTGGGGCCCCGCCCGGCCAGCGCCAGCAGCTGCTTTAGCTGTTCTTGGTCCAGCCGCGCCTTGACCCCCTCGTTGAAGAGCTGCGGGGCCCATGTGGGCTGTTTCTCGCCCTCTGTTCCACCAGATAGCAAGCCCACACCGGCCCCCGCAGGAGGACCTTCCAAAAGAGACAGCCGTGCCTCGAGCTCGTCGAGGGAGTTCAGCCGGGACTGAATGCCGCTCAAGAGCTGAGCTTGTTGCTGGCCTTGGGCCAGAAGCTGCTGCAAGATACCTCCATCCATGGAAGGCGCTGATGTCAAAGGCACAGCGTCCAGTTCGGCCTCCGAGGCAGCCGTGTAGTACCCTTCCAAGCGCTCGACGGCCTCCACTGAAAGCTCTTCTCCGTTCAGAAAGGTTTCCAAAGCGGTTACGGCAGCAGAGCCCAGAACCCATGAAGATTGTAGTCTGTGAGTGCCGAAAGAAGTGATTTCTCCAACGTCGGGCAGAGCTGCGCTGAACATGTCTATGCCTGAAGCATTGAGGTCCACCAGCAAGCACGGCCAGCTCTTGGACGCCAGTTCCTTTCCGCTGGCAGTGACGGCTCGCAAAGCTACTTTTGTCCATGGCCCGAAGACTCCGCTGAATTGCTCCTCCAGAGCTTCCGCCAGATCCTCGTCGCTCAACGCGGCAATGGGCAGACAAGCCACAAAACCGGAGTCCACGGCCTTGACAATGAATGCGTGAGAGGCCTTGTCCTTGTGGACGAAGTAGAGCTTGGTGTATCCTGGTGGATCGCAGGCGGTCTGCCATTGGCCTAGGAAGCTAGGCCGAAGAGAGGAAGTCATTGGGGCCTCTGGCGGGACAAGTCACGAAGGCTGCTGAATGCACGAGAGACTGATGTCGGGTCCCAGGCTTCGCTGGGCTTGACGATGCGGAGGTAGGAGTCGGATGAAAAGGCATAGAAAGGCTCGGCCACTTGGGACACCAGGTGGACCACTCGCCGCCCAGGAAGGGCTGGTTGCCGAAGGAGAGCACACGACGCACGATCCTGTCGGCGCAGCTTGGCGGATCGGCCTCCCAAACACGCTCTCAACTGCCGAGTCAAGGCACAGCGCCTCGGAAGGGGGCTCTGCAGGTTGAAGAAGCGAGACCCACAAGGAGGTAGTACGCGAGAAAGTCCTGGTTGTTGACGAGGCTGGGCGGCTGGGCACGAGGTTGAAGGATAAGGTGGTTCGATTGACAGCAACGTTCACGGTGATGTTCAGCTGCCCCACCAGTTCAGTGATCTGAGCAACCAAGTCCTGAGAGTCAGGCCCGGTGCTCGT